GATTGTTTATTAGGTACCAGTAAACATGTCAACAAACAATTTCAAATGGCTAAATGAAAAATGTCGTCATCCAAATCATTTCCACCATTGCATTACCAGGCAACAAAAAAGAAATTCTAACTGAGTACTGAGAGTTTATTTAAAGAGAAGTGAGTTAAACTCCCTCTTGAGATGTTTAAAACCCAACAAGGCCAAATTTTAAAAGCAGTTCTTATGTGTGTAAGAGAGAAACCCCCAGTATTTCTAAACAACTGTTTACATTACGTATATTACCAGCTTTGAGTAGTAGTTGGTCAGTGATTTCCCTCAAATTAAATGAAACTTAGGGCCACAAAAATGTGTTTCTGTTCTGTTGTTGTCTGGCTCGTCGCCTCAGGATCTACTTCAAATGAAAACCACTCGCTAAGTCTGAGAGTAAAAAAATGTGGCCCAGGGTTGTAACAAATGATGTCACCTCACAAGATGTAATATGGGTGGACCCTCAGGCAACACTTAGTTTCTCCATTGTATATCTGTCAGTTCTTGTAGGATTGCGTTACAAAACACACCACATAGGAATTAGAGCATGCGTTTAGGAACATGTTAGAAGCAGCCAAAATATTTCAGGCCAGCAAAGAAAGTCAAAGACTTAGAATTATTATAGTTAACAATAAAGCTCCCTTTAAACAAAAGTTAAACCTGGTTTGCGGAAAACAGGGCGTAGTTGAGAAAATTAAACTCCTTGTACTTTGTGCCTTCATTTCAGTGAAGTATCCGCAAATATGACAAGTATTAGCATAACTGGGATCAATGATGAGGAAAAACAAACATGGGTTCTCTGTGGAAAACAAAAGGAAACCCAGCGGCTGCAATGCTCTTTAATATGACCTTGACAGTGGAGAGAAAAAGATAAATTTGTTATTTGTTTTATGAATGCAGCTTGTTTGAGTTTATACAAGTCGGGCAGGGGTGTCAAACTATAGTCCTCCAAGACACCTGAATTACATAATTACAGCGACTCCTGCTAATGACCGGATTATTTTATTCAGGTGTGTTAAGACAGTTTCTTAAAGATGCATCATTTCTGACTTTGTTTAATTTCTGATTTGCCAACACTAAATTAGAATGACTTATTTTTCTAAGAGGTATTTCCTCTTTTCACCACAGAAAAGAGGAAAAAAACTGCTTTGAAAGTTTGCATCCAAGTAAGTGCTGTTGGTTGATGTATTTATGAACTGAGAACTGGTGGGAGTTTTTCGTTTTGATGCAGTTAATGAGTTTAACAATTTTCAAACTTTTTCAGTATTTTGCAGGATCAAACACAGATTCTCATGCTGAATGATTAGTTAATGTCAAATCTTTAGCAGTGCTGTGAGAAGGTTTTTTTCCCTTATATAGATTTTTTTTTCTCTCTTTGCTCTTCTTTATTTCATTTTTAAAGTTTCAGATTATCAAACATATTTTAAATTTTAAAGATAATCTGGTTAAACACAAAAAGTGTTAAAAACAAAAAAAATTATCCACAATTTAACCCACACTCGCCAATGATAGCTGTCACCAGGCCTTTGTTGTAAAAGCTTAATTTACATCTTTAAGTATTTATAAACATAAACAACTCAAAGTATGCTTAAGTTTAAGGGTACGAAATTGCCAAGAGTGTGCGAAGCAGTAATCAAAGCAAAAGGTGGCTCTTTTGAATAATCTGCAATATAAGAAATATTTTCAGTTGTTCCACCCTTTTTGTTAGGTAAATTCCACGTGTTAATTCATAGTTTTGATGCCTTCAAGGTGAATCTTCAATTTTCATAACCCTGAAAATAAAGAAAACTCTTATTGAGAAGGTATGTCCAAACTTCTGGTCTGTAGTGTATATATGTATGTATGTACATATATATATATATAACAGTATGTGTTATCATATATATATATATATATATATATTTTAGGAAGAAGCCCAGTTAAGACAACCGCAATCTTCTACTCTATAACCACAGCTCAGCTACATTTACATTCTCAGTGGCTGTTCAGATTCAATATGCATATAATTACCAGCTAAAGCAGAGCATGAAGCATGAAAATTAAATGTATCACACTTACCAGAGATGCTTATTATTTATAAACAAAATTCATCCCTCTGTCTATGCGCAGGAAGTCTTTGTATCTCCTTTAAGTATCAGCCATTTAGGCCAGGAAAACTTTTAACAAAAGCAATTCTAAACTGTAGATCGTCGTTTGCCTAACTTGCCTTTAGACATTTTGCTCTAACTGACCAATCAGACGACAGAAAATGCTGACATTTGAGTGGGCCTGCTAACTGGCCAGGTGGGACAAATCCGTAATCGGAAAAGTTTTGGAAAACTTTTCTTATGTGTATTGTTAAGGTACAGTAACATCAGCCAGCACTGCTGATTCTAAAGGCCCTGGGCAGATTTGATTGACATACCTATGCACTAAGGCTGAAACCACATAAATGTGATGGAAGTAGCACAGCCAAGAGAAACGGTACAATCAATAATACAGCTGGATAGAAGAAAATTAAAGTTTAGGGTATGATTATAACCTAGTGTTGCTGATTGATTGATTGGGCTCACCACTGGTGACAGAGACCATCACTCAGACCCTCAAAGTTTGACCCTTTACTTGGAATTCATTTTTTAAATAGCTTTTATTTTAGCCTCAAATGTAACATCTGCCATTTTTCCTAAGGTCTTGACGATGATCAAGATAGATCTGTGGTAAATGGTAGTAAGGCCTTTTTACTTTGCAGTAAAGCCTTCAGAGCTTTTTCTGGGTTCTTTTATGGCCTCCAGGATGAATCGTTAATGTACTCATGGATGACGGCACTCACTGGTTTTCTGGAGTCCCCGGATCTTTAGAAATCGCTTTCTGACTCTTTCCAACTGATGGATGTCACCAGCCCTCTTCTCTGTGCTGCATTTATCATTTGTTACTTTTTGAGATCTCTTCACCTATTTTATCATGTCAGACAGGTTCTATTTAATGAAATGTGCAAATTCATGGTATATATATATATATATATATATA